GGGGATTTCATACTTCTACCTAGCCTTCTGTGGGGCCCGCTTTTCTGGAATGTTGATACCACTTTTCCTGATTGAATGCTTAACTAGGGTGAAGAGCAACTAATTCTAATCATTATGCAACCTGAAACAGCGCTGCCGACCATCCGCGAGACTATTGGTCCATTTCACAGTCGAGGCGTCAGGACATTGTCAATGACAAGGGGAAATGAGGAAAGAAAATATACACTGAACATTTAGTATACTGTATGAGGAGTAAAGGGTTATCTAGAGCATTGGAAACGTCTTGGATATCCACTAGAAATCCAAAAGGACCTAGATCTATAGAAGATAACCTCTTCCCATTTCTATCGCACTGTAAGCTCGGAATGGCATTATGTTGCTGATAAAAGCAAAAGAGCAAACTTGCCAGGAGGTGATCCAATTATAATACCTCCTGTCACGGGTGCACGGACCACTACCCCCTTAGTGTTCCGGTTTCTAATACTTCCATTCAGGGAACCGTTCAGAGGATATGGAAACGAATATAAGCTTAGCGTCTTAAGACTATGCGAAGGGATATACCCCATTTCAATCGGCCGAGGCTGACCTGTTTACTTTCCCTCCTAGTGTGAATTCAACTAGAAACTAATCCAGGTCATCGTTTTTCGCCAAGTTATGAAAAGTTCCAGGCGTAAAAACTCAACTACGCTATCTCTGGAATTTGCTTCGCGCGAACCCGTCTGAATGTTGTCTTCTGATCAGGGAAACCTCCGGGTTCCTACAGAAGAGAAATAATCGAGGAAAGCTGCTTCTAAAACTGAACGCCAGGCACTGCTTTGATCTGCCGCCGATTTAACCCTGTGAGAATGATTTGGTGAACAAATTTCCCCATGAATCGTGCGATTAGAGTTGCTTTTGTGGTAAGACAATCAAAAGGATTAGAGTGAACGAAAACACTGCATACCGCCACTGTATTTTTCTGTTCGCCGGAGCCCTGCGCTTACGCGGCTTGCTGCCTTTCCATTCACAAAAGAGAGTTCCATTGTGAGTTACCGGAGACGGGTGGTAAAAGGGATGGGTCACTACATCAGACCACGACATCGCTCTTTTTACAGTCCCCAAAGAGGACTACGGTGCCTAACTACGGCGATATGATGGGAGAAATCACAGCGAAGGCATTGAGCTGTGAGAGACGCGACGTCGCACTCTGGCGTAATAGCCCACGTTCGTGGTGAAAAGATCCTGTGAGAAAACTTATTGAGTCACCTTCTTCCACTCCATCGCGCACTTTATCAAAGGTTTCTTCGGCGAAAGTCACTGAAACAGTCTATTCTTGAATTTTATGCACCATAAAGGTGAATACGTCGACGAATGTTACAGGTTCAATATTGGTGTTAGCTCATTTATTTCATTACAGTTAGCTGCCCACCACCTGTCCAAAAAACTGATGTTCTGTACTGAGCTTTGCGTGAACTTTACCTACCT